GCATGGCTGCTACCACTTCCACCACTGCATAACCTACGATTCATCTCCAGTAGCAGGTAGAGGAGCAGAAGAGGCAGAGGAGGTATAGGGGGCTGAGGAGGTAGAGGAGCTAGTAGCTCTGGTTAGCAGATGCATGGAGCAGCTGCAAGCCATGGCTGGCTAGCTACCATTGCTTTTGGGATGATCACAAGTCACATTGGCTACCATTACTGCCACTGCCACCACCATTTGACCTGCCCGTCCAGACCAAATGCCCGGAATGAGTTTTGAGACATCTCATATTCTCAATGCCCGGAACCTCTCACTCTCACATCTGACTGGCTGGTGGTGATGCATCTGACTCTCATGTTCTTCTGAGCTCCTGGAAAGAAATCAACCAAGTGATTAATTTGCAGCAGCATGCAGACTCATTGCAGCATACCTATGACAGCTTTCAGCTGTATCCGTCCTTCTTCAGCTCTGTTTTGGCAGCTGGGTAAGCTTGAAGTGAATGTACAATAGGCAGCTATTTTGGAAAGACTTGGCAACAAATGTTTACGGTATTCTTTCTAACCCACTGGTGGCACTGCAGGCAGGCACGTGACGAGCAGCTTTGTTTCTGCAGGGTCTGTGCAAGGAGAGATCAGTCATCTCAAACTCTAGTCTGAGAAACAAAGTTCCTGTGAGGCCTATGTGAGCGGTAGAATGTGCCTCAGAATCAGCCTCAATCCAGAAGCCAGCACACCTCTGATTCCACCACACAACCACTTTTGAGAACCCCTAGAAGTGTTCCAACACCCAGTGACCACCACACCACACGAAGCCATCGCCACCTGATGGCTCTCTGCTTCTCCATCTGACTGAATCTGGCATCAACTCTTCTATTCAACAACACCGTGGCAGCCACATGAGAATTCAGCACATTGAACCCCTGTTCCCAGCACGCCTCTATCAGCTTTGCTCTCTGCTGCTCCCCTTAGGACAGATTGATCCCACGGTTCTAGTACCAACTACTCAATCCTACTGCACAGCAGCAGCCACCTGAGCATCCAAGACACAGAACCCCTTCTCCCTGCACGCCTCCACGAGCCTTGCTCTCTGCTGCTCCCCCTCAGGGCAAAACACCACCACAGCTGGTACTAATATCAACCCCTCAATCCAACTCCACAGCAGCAGCTACCTGAGCGTTCACCACACAGAACCCCTTCTCTCTGCACGCCTCCACGAGCCTTGCTCTCTGCTGCTCCCCCTCAGGGCAAAACGCCACCACAGCACCACCGCTGCCTGTGAACTTGGCTGCTGCCCCCACTGCCCGTGCTGCCTGCACCATGCTCAGATTCACTTCCCCCAACACCTCGTCTCCAAACATCTGCCTGGTAGGTGTGCAGAAGAAGGGTGGAGGAATAAACGGAGGGATTGCGAAATGTCTCAGCACTGCCATTGCCTACGATAGCAACTGCCCCCACAGCCCGTGCTGCCTGCACCATGCTCATAATCACTACTCCCAGCACCTCGTCTCCAAACATCTGCCTGGTAGGTGTAGAGAAGTGGAAACGTGGAGAGAGGGATGGAAGAGCATGAGGGTGTGTGGTCCGGAGGCAGGGGGTGGGAAGGGGGGGACAAGTGAGAGGCAGAATGTCAATTCCACTTCTTCTAAGTTTCGGTCCATCAGCCTAGCAAGCTTCCCCGAATACGAAGGTCGAACCAGCAACCAGCCACTTAAAGTGCACCTGCCTCTCAGATCACACCTGGGTGATTCTCACCTGCGCAGGTCAAAGTTCCGGTCCATCAGCCGAGCGAGCTTCCCCCAATCCCGTGCCACCAGTGCATCCCGCCCCTCCTCTGCCAGCGCTGCCACGTCAGCCATGGCCTGGCGCACCGCCACGTCACCGGCCTGCCACCTGGCGCGCACGGAGCTGTGCACGTGGCCTGAGTCGCTGGGATTGGCTGCGAAGATGACCTGCAGAGGAGGTAAGAGGGCTGGGTCCATGGGCTGGTACATGCCGTACCCGTGTGCTTCTAGGTGTGGTCTGTTGAAGTCCTGAGGAGGAGGAGAAGGAGACGGCAGCAAGAGAAGGCAGCGAGTGAGAGGGGAAAGTGGGATCGTACTCATGGCTGGCAAGAGGGCCGGGTCCAAGCGCTGGTTGGCGGCGTACCCATGTGCTTCTAGGTGTGTACGTTGAAAATCCGAGGGGTGTGGGGGGCGGAACGAGGAAAGTGTGAGGGAAAGGAAGAGGGCATATAGCCTGAGATATATCTCAGCCCTATTCCCTCCCTGAAATAATTGAGGCTGAGACCACGCGGGTCAAGGACCGAGAGCTGGTTTACCTACAGCACAAATAACGCTTGATTCAACTCTCTTTTTTGGAAGGCGGTACTAACCATGAACACCAGTCCACCGTAGGTTTGGATGACCCGATCCTGCAGGCCCGCGGCAATGCCGAGCCTGCTCTCGGCCTCGAGGATGAGGTTCGGGCGCACAGGTATGGGAATGGCGTGGTGAAGGTGGTAATGATGAAGGAGGCAGCTTAGAGCGGCAGCAATGATTGCACTGGATCCTGACAGGCCCACCTGATTGGTTGGTGGCAGTGGGAGAGGGAGTTAAAAGAGAGAGCATGGGATAAGATAATGCGCGGAGGGGAGAGATGGTTCAAGGAGACAGCAGATGTGGTGCGGATGGTGGTGGCAGTGGTGACGGTGATGGTGGTGGTGCAAATGTTTATGCAGACATCAAGTGGCAATGGATGAAGACTACGTGGCGAGGTATGTTGGTAACCCTACATGGCGAGGTATGCTGGTGGTAACCCTACCTGGCGAGGAATGTTGGTGGAGTAGGAGAGGGTGAACGCGGCGTGTTGTGGCAAGTCAACGCCGTGAAGCTGGCAGTAGTCGTGTACGCACGCGCACAGCGACACTAGAAGACAAACGCCGCCATCCGCGCGCTCAAGCCGCTGCTTCTTGGATCGTTCTGCCTGTGCCGCCCCTAGAGTCAAGGCGCACGAGGGGGACGACAATACGTGACGGGGCGTGTCAGTAAAAGCTAGTAATAAGGGATTACAGCATATGCGACGCTCGCATGGATTGCGACAATCGCGAAGATTGCGACGACCGCGATAATTGCGGCGATCGCGACCATAACAAAGGGGGATGCACCCAGTCGTTTGACTTCGGTGCTCCGTCTTGTAACGAGCGACGGTGAACGAAAGGATGGAACGTTACAAAGCGACGCGCGCACCAGATCGCTATGCGACGAGAATTCGACGACGTCGTCGCCCGCACACGGCTTGATTCGTATAGTTCGCGAAGGCTGTAACGTGACTTCAGCGAAGAAGTCCGCGAGGGAGAAGGAAAGAGTCTTCCCGTTGTAGCCGTCGCTGGGATTCCCCAACAGCCCCACGCGCGCGAACGCCCGTCGTGTGATGCTGCGCGCCGAGTCAGAATCTGCTGCCGTGGAGATCGAAACTGAGCAATTCTTACTCTGGTCATCGCGTCCTTCCATCTTAGCGATTGCGAGAATTGATAAGAGCGGAAGAGATAAGTGTGACGGAAACTAATAGAGTATAGACGTAGAGTCGTGTGTTGTAAGGGCTCTCGTGGAAAGTGACGGAATTATTGTGGCTAGTAACGATGTTCGACGAGGAATGGCTGGAGAGAAAATCGGTTCCTTGTTTGGAAGGGATGGTGCTGCTGGGCACGGGAAAATCTGGAGCTTGGGTGCTCACCACAACTGCTCAGATCAAACCGAGTGTCAAAGGCAGTCGTTTACATGTCCACGTGTACAGCTCGGGCCCACAGCCTAGAAGTTGGGTGTTCATTCTTGTGAAATAAAAGCGAAATGTTGAGATGAGACTGGTATACTTACCTGGGCGGGGTCAATCGGTGATCAAGAAGGCCGATGGCCTAGGGGCGGGCCCGCCATTGCACTCCGGCCGGCCCTGTCCCTAGCACGCCGGAACTCCCGGTGATGCACGTCATAATTTGTGGCAGAGGGGGCTCGCGTTCGCGCGGCCCCTACCAAATTGAAACCTGAAGAGGGATTGTACGATGCAAACAAGGAAACTGAAATCGAATGTAAGCCGTGATTCGGCCCTGTGGGTAGTCGAGTCTCAAAGAACCTGCTCAGCATGTACAGTTGAAGCACTTGAAAATGTAGGAAAAAAAAATGTAAGATGGTCTAAAATTGAACGTGGTAAAAAAATGAACAGGTCTAAAAATGGACGTACAATCGCTGTAGGGAGAACGGGTGTAGTGAATCGAATCTCACAGGATTTCAACACTAGCCGATCATCAACGAATCACTCTTTATCGACACCTGTGTTTCGCGCGCAAAGTGTCACAGGCTGCGAATGTCTGTCAGAAACAAGACCGTCCCCCGCTTGACGAACCATGCTCCAACCACGAGTCGTGCAGGGGCTGTCAATTACGCGAAACGAACTGTTACACAAAATCCCCTCGTCACACCCACTTTCGCCTCAGATTTTCATGACCACGACGTCTTCGTCAGCGTCGCCACGCCTCGCCAACATGCGTTGTCGGGGGTGCCCAACCTGCTTTTCCTGGTCGTGCTTTTCCAATTTTCTAGGGTTCCTCGGAGGAAGGCTTGGTGGGAGTTGCAGGTATTTTCAAGGCTGTACTGTACCAGCAGCAGTTCTTTATAGCTCCCGCCGACAGCCTTGATTTTACACGCAACAGGATCCGTAGGTGCTTCGGGTGTGCTCGATTAGGGTACCGTTCACATCCTGCTGCTGTTACTCTCGCGAATATAACGTATCCAGGTCACAGGTCACAGGTCACTTCCGTGCGAGCTCTTTTCTCCGCGACAAACAATTGTTTCCCTTCTTAGTTCCAAGGTTAACCCATGACGCTCGCTTCAGTGTTCGTTTCGGTAATGACTCGTTCCAATTCGTTTCTTCGCGAACCGCTTAGGCAGCAGCTGACTTGCTTCTTCCCGACTTAGCATCACCGGACGGCTGTAGAATCGTACGCCGTAGTATCTGAACTTCCCGATTGACGGTTCAGTTATGGAAATTCTTCCGCCGTCAACTACCCGTCAGCCGGCTATTCCGGGCCGGCCGGAACAATCGGAGGAGTACGCATGGGTTCCAGGTCTAATCGACGCGGCGACGATCGAGAAGCTTGAACGCGTGGGGATGGCATGGGGCCCGCTGACCGGCCTCCCCTGGGGAGCTCCCATCCCTTTGCTTCTCCTCACAGCCTTCTGCACCACTCTGCACCGATACAACCCCAGGCGGAGGGATTTTCCCGTGGGAGTGTCCTTCGGGTGGTACATTCTGCAGGCGGAAGACGCGGACGATGAGCCGCCGCCAGCGGAAGCGCAGAAGGGCGGGGGAGGGGGAGGGGGAGGCGGGGGGAGGGGACACCGGGACGGGGGCGCAGGCGGTCACCGCCAGTCGCTTTTCTCCGATAGTGAGTACTCCGATTCCGAGTTCGAGTCGTCGCGCCAGGCCACGCGGCTGTCCGCGATAGGCGGCGGAGGAGGAGGAGCTCCATCGGGAGGAGCGCTAGGAGCGGCGGCGCGCGCGGCGTACCAGTCATCTGCAGGTCCGGGCGGGGGCGTGGGGGGAGGCAAGGGCGGAGCCATCCCGCAGGGAATGCGGCCCGGCGGACTAGCCACGGGTCTTCTCTCCACCATGGTTGGCGCAATGGCAGGGGGCGGGGCAAAACCTGTAGCAGCAGGCGCAGGGGGAGGGGCAGCTTCCGCGAAGCCCGCGGGGGGCGGGCTGCTGCGGCTGTGGCAGGGGGGAAAGCTGTACGACGCGCCGCCGTCGGGGCAAGATCTTAGGGTTAGCTGGCGCGCCAACGGGCTGTTTCACGACACTATATCGGACGCGATGAGCTCTATAACGAGTTTTTTCCGCCGTAGGAGAGGAGGACGATGATCAACTACTGGTGGTGAATGTCGAAATGGATAATCTGCCCCCGCGCGCCCCGCAAGCGGACAACCTACTCCCCCCTTCCGCGCTCCCCCCTGCTGCTGCGCCCCCAGGCGCGGTTCCGCGCCAGGGCAGTCTGGGGGCGGCGGGCTTGCCGTCTATGGGGCTAGCAAAACAGGACAGCCTCAGATCGGACCCGGGAACCGTGGCAGGGGCGGGCGCATCCGGGGCGGGCGTTCCTGGGGGAGGTGTATCCGGGGTAGGCGCATCTGGGGCGGGGCGTACTGACAGAGACGTGACTCTACTTGAGATGCTGGCGCACGTGGGATCGCGGCTGTTTGAAGCCGTGGGGAGCGCGGAGGAGGGAGGAGGCGCATCCGGGGTAGGTCACAGCGGTGGGTTAGATAACCCTACGAGGGACCACAGCGGGAGTTTGGCGCGGTCGCTAGGTGGGGGGCCGGGGGAGGGGCGGAGTGGTGCGGGCGGGGGGGAGGGGCGTGTCCGGGGATGGCATGTCTGATGTGGATAGGGAAGAGCGTGGGGCGGGGGACGGCTAGATCAGCGTCAACAGCACGGAGCAGGGTGGCTGCTGCCAGTGCAGCTGCAGTTGCGAAAGGGTTTCCGGCCTTTTTCAAGTATTTTGCATATGGGATCGACCGGCAGACGATAGAAGAAGAGGGGGAGGATATACCATCGTGCGGGCTTGCCGGGTTGTTTGTCCCCGGGTCGAAAAAGAAAGCGGTGCTGATTCGGTGGCGGTATGATGTGTCTAAGTACGATGAATCTACCGTGGCGCGGCTGAGCGCGAATTTTTGTTTTTTTGGTGGAACGGATTGCATCTCTGCCGTCGATTGAGGCGCTGCCGATTTACTACCTGCCCGTGCTGACCGACGCGGAGAAGGGAGCAGCTAGAGGACAAGTTTTCCGGGCGGCTGGTGCCGCACGCGTTCTGGCACGAGGAGGAAGAAGGGAGGAAGCTTCTGCTGGACGTTGGGGGTATAGGGATGGGAGGGGGGTGGGGAGAGGCGGCAGGGATAGGCTTAGGGAGAAGGATCGGCTAAGGAGGAAGAAGAGGCAAGAGGAGGGGAAGGGAGAGGGTGGGGAAGGTGGGGGGGAGAGGGAAGGAGATGGAGTGATTGTGGGAGCGGGTGATAATACTGAAGGGAGAGTAGTAGAGGGAGCAGCAGGAGCATTAACAGCAGGCGCTTTAGCAGCAGGAGCAGTAGGAGAAAGAGAGATTGCAACAGGTGATGCTACTGCTACAGCCATTGCATCCCTCCCTCCCCCTCCTCCCTCCCCTGGCGCAGCCTCATCCGCCGCCCAGTCTCAGGTGGGTTCTAGCGCCAGAGGGGGAGCAGGGGGGACAGCAGGCGGAGCAAGGGCAGGCGGAGGCGGAGGCGCAGGGGGAGGGGGAGGTGCGGGGGGAGCAGGGGCAGCGGGCAGTGTGGTAACATCGGGATTTGACACGGTGACAGATCTGTCGGATGCGGCGCCAGGGAGTGTGGGGAGGGGGGTGAGGAGCAGGGGCAGGGGTCTGAATGTGCGCGATCGAACTTTGGTGGATCTGTTTGAGCGGCAGGTGAAGGTTAACCCGGCTGCCACGGCGCTGCTGCTGCTGCACCGGGGGAGAGGGCGCGGGGGCGCGGGCGGAGGGGGGTCATGGGGAGGTGGAGCGGGAGGAGGGGGAGCGTGGGGGGCTGGAGGAGGAGGGGAAAGAGGAGCGGGAGCGGGAGCAGGAGGAGGAGGAGGAGGAGGTGGGGTGGAAGGGACGAAGGTGGTGGTGAGAGAAGCGGTTTCTTACATGCAGCTGCATGCGCGTGCCCTGCTGATCGCGAGGTTCGTTGCCAAGAAAGCTTCCTCGCCCTGCTCTCATTCCCGGCGTCGCACCGGGGTAGCAGCCACAGCACCCCTGCCGCCACCCCCAAGGCCGCCTCCTCTGCCGCTGCTGCTGCAGCCGCTGCTGCTGCCAACGGCACGGGTGTTTCTTCTGGTTCCCCAACCGTTTCAGCAGCACCAGTAGCAGGAGGAGGGGCAGGAGCAGGGGCGAATATAGCGGCAGCGGCAGCAGCAGCAGTGGGGGCAAGCCGGAGCGAGACCAGAGGTGCAGCTAGTGGGGGTGTGTATGGAGAGAGGGGTGGATTGGGTAGCAGCTATACTCGGGATCATGATGGCTGGGAGGGCGTATGTGCCTCTAGATCCCTCCCTGCCACGTGGCAAGCTGGAGGAGATTGTGGAGGAGTCCGGGATCATGCTCGTGCTCACGTCGCGCCACCTGGCGGACGCGCTGACGTGGATGACGCCCCGCTCGCCACGTGGCGCCGCCGCCACGTCAGCGTCAAGTCCGCGAGCGACCAATCAGGGAGGGCCAGAGGAGGTAGGCCAGAGGCAGGATCAGGAGCAGGATCAGCAGCAGCAGGAGCGGCGGCGGCGGCACCATCTGTTGAAGCACAAGCGGGCTGGCAGCTCGGGAAGCTCAGGGAAGGCGGATTCAAAAGGGGAGGCCGGTGTGAGCGACAGTAGAATCAGCGATCGGAGGACTGGAGTGGCGATTTTCTTCCCCAGCAGCAGCAGCATGGGTGCCGACAGCAACCACAGCAGTAATACTTCAGGGGAGGCACGGCTGGGGAGGGCGCTGCCTGTATGGGCGGTAGAGGAGGTGATAGAAGGCGAGGTGGAAGAGGAGCGGGCGGAACGAGCGTTGCTGGGTGACTGGGGGCCTGGAGATGAGGGGATGACTGGCAGAGAGGCAGGAAGGGGGAGGGGGAGGGGCCGGGGCTGGTGTGGGGGTGAGTGCAGGTGTGAGTGTAGGGAGTGCGGGATTGGATGTTCTAGAGGGGTTGAGGCCGAGGGCGAGTGGGACGTGCTGTGTAATGTACAGAGAGAATGAGCTGGGGCGCGTGCGGGGCGTGGTGTTACAGCACCAAGGGGTGGTCAATATGGTGCATTGCTTCAGACACAGATTGCCTGCCGAACACTCTGCTGCTGCTGCTGCCGCTGGTTCGAATCCTGCTCCTGCCACTGCTGCGCCTGCCACTGCGGCTACAGGTGCTACAGCTGCTACTGCTGCGGCGGCTGTAGCGGCTGCTACAGCAGCGGCGGCCGCTACAGCCGGAGCGGCCCCACCAGTGGATGTGAGGGCGCAGATCTCTCCTGCTCACCTGCCAGCTCACCTCTTTGAACTCTTCACTGCATTTGATGTCGGCGCTGCTGCTGCCATCTGCCCCTCGCCTCTCGAACCATTTTCTTCCAACGCTACAGCTTATAACGAATCTGCTTATAGCGGAGCAGGAGGAGGAGCAGGAGGAGGAGCAGGGGCTGTTACTTCTGCTGCTTCTGCTGCTCATGAGTCTGCTGTGGTGCATGCACATGCATGTGCGGAACTTTCCTCAGAAGCTTCCCTCCTGGGCGTCTCAGGGCTGCTCACGCTGCCAAGTGTCGCAATGTGGTTGGAGCCCCGGTCTCTCCCGAGCCTGCGTTGGGTGGCCTTCTCAGGCGAGCCCGTACCTAGAGCTCTGGTTTGGCGCTGGCTTCGGGCCGGACGTGTGGTGGTGGATATTTACGGAGCTCTGGAGTGTTCCCTAGCTGCCACGTGTGCAGTCTGGCGGCCCTGGCGACAGGGTGGCGGATACGATTGGCCGGCCACTGCCAGGTGTCCACGTGTACATTCTCGGGCCGAACCTAGAGCTCGTCCCGATTGGCGCGGGCGGCGAGGTGTGCATTGCAGGGATACACGTGGCGAGAGGGTATTGGAAGCGGCACGGGGAGACGCGGCAGAGGTTCGTGAGCAACCCGTACGGCATGGGAGTGCACGACAGGAAGCTGTTCCGAACGGGGGACCGGGGGAGGTGGTTACCAGACGGGTGTGTGCAGTTTTTGGGGAGGTTAGAGCAGCAGGTGTATATCCGAGGGTTGAGTGTGGAGCCGGTGCAAATAGAGGAAGCGGGGAGTAAGGTGGATGGGGTGGCGCGCTGTGTGGTTGCGTTCAGGGCGCATGACCCGGGGAGACAGCCGTATCTCGCTGCCTATCTCCTGCTTAAACCTTCGCTGGCAGCGGCTGCTGCTGCTGTGGCGGCTGCAGGAGAGGCAGCGTTGGGGGGAGGGGCTGGGGGGGAAGCAGGGGCAGGGGCAGGGGTGGGGAAAGGGGCGGGGAAAGGCGGGGGGAAGGGGGTGCAGACCCCTGCTCAGCAGCTACTGGCGTCGCAGCAATTAGCAGCAGTGATTCCTAAGAAGGTCCGAGAGTATTTCAGATCCGCCCTCCCTCCTCACGCTGTTCCCTCAGCCATCCACGTGATTTCACCACCTCCCCTGGACCAAGACAGGCAAGGCCGACCGCTCCCGCCTCCCTCTGCCGCCCGCGGACTCCTTTTTTGTCTCTTGTGACGAGGACGGGTCTGTGGGCGGCACGGGGTTGGGATGCGGGCGGCGGGGATCCGTTAGAGACGGCGGAGGAGCGGGCAGTTGCGGTGATTTTTGCCGAGGTGCTGCCCGGGGTCGAGGCGGGCAGGTTGCGAAGGAACTCAAACTTTTTTGAGCTGGGAGGGAATTTGTTTCTGGCAGCACAGGTGGTTGCGAGGCTGGTTGATTCTATCGAGAGTTCTGTTAAGGAGGGTGGGAGCAACGGGGGGGAAGGCGGCAGTGCTGCTGCTGCTGCTGCCGCTGCTGCTGCTGGTGGTGGTGGTAATGCTGGTAGGATGCTAGGAAAGGGAGGTGGAAGAGGGGAGGGGGGAGGGAAGGGAGGGAGGAGAGGGGGCAAAGGCAGCAGTGGGAGCGTGGGTGCTGGGGAAGCAGCAGCAGGTGGAGGGGCAGGAGGAGGGGGAGGGGGTGGAGCAAGGGCGGAGTTCTACAGAGCAGGGCTGACGCTGAGAGGACATGTTCAGTGCGCCCACTGTCATGGGCCTTGCTGCTGCTCTGCACCGCGCTGCTACTGCCGCTGCCGCCGCCGCCGCTGTTTCTGCTGCTGCTGGTTCTGCTGGTGGTGGGGGATTGGGCTTTGGATGAAGGTTTAGAGGATAGTGATGGGGAGGAGCAGGAGGAGGGGCAGGCAGGCTTGGGAAAGGGAGGGGAGAGACTGCTGCGCCTGGCACCTTTCCCTTCAGCCGCTGCTGCTGCTGGTGGTTCTGGCAGTGCTGCTGCTGTTCCTGCTGGTTCTGCAGCTGGTGGGGCAAGTGAGGGGGATGGGGTGGGCGGAGTGGTGGGGGTGCCATTGTCAGAGGCGCAGGTGCTGCTGTGGGTGGCGTACCATGCTCTACCGCACCCTCAGCTGCTGGACGAGTGCCATGTGTGGCGCCTGCAGGTGAGACGGGTGCCAGGTGAATGCCATATCCCTGTTTCCCTCCCTGCCTCCATCCATCTCCCGTTTCACAGGGCCCCGTCAACTCTCCTCGCCTTCAGCAGTCCCCCACAAGCACTTGTGATGCGCCATGCAGCGCTGCACTCTCGCTTCATTGTCAAAGGACCAGCAGCAAGCACAAGCCTAAGTCATCGTTTGAACCACCCTCCCCCCACCCCCCTCCCTCTCCCCCTCCCTCTCCCCCTCCCTCTCCCCCTCCCTCTCTTTCCCTGCCCCAATACAGGGTCCGGTGAACTTCCCGCGTCTGCAGCGGTCGCTGCAAGCACTGGTGGTGCGGCATGCAGCTCTGCGCTCTCGCTTCGTTGTCTGGCACACCAGCAAGCACAAGCCTAAGTCATTGCTTGTATTCCCTTTCCTGCCCAAACACACAGGGACCAGTCAACTTCCCTAGGCTGCAACGGTCTTTACAAGCACTGGTGGTGCGCCATGCGGCTCTGCGCTCTCGCTTCGTGTCTGGCACACCAGCAAGCACAAGCAGTCCGGACGAGGTGGCGGTGGTGGCGGCGGCAGGGGCAGCAGCAGCAGCAGCAGCAGCAGCGGCAGCGGTTCGCTGCGGTTGAAAGCGGCTGTGATGGATGCTGCGATTAACTCTCTGAAGACTGAGCTCGCTGCTGGCGCTGGCGCTGCTGGGGCTGCTGGAAACGCCAAGGGCAGGAGGCAAGCAGGGAGAGGAGTAGCAGGAACAGGAGGAGCAGGAGGAGGGGGGAGAGCAGGAGCAGCAGGAGGAGGAGAAAGAGTGAGTGCAGCAACGGGTGGTGGGGAGAACAGGGAGGAGGAGGAGGAGGGGGGTTTGTCTATCGGGCCCTAGCAGGGCTGTTTGCACCGAGCCTCTTTGCTCCCAGCTTCTGGAAGACAGCAGAGAGTGTGCTGGAGTGTGTAACGCAGATCCACACGCACCCCCACCCATGGGCCTCCGTTTAGGCTCGCTTTGGTGGATATTTCCGGCGCGAAGTACTCCAACGAAAACAGGCTTATATCGGGGATAATCGCGGAGGCGAGACGGCCGTTTTGCCTGAGGACTCCGGAGGAGGCGGCGGGTTCAGCTAATTGTGGGAGGGAATAGGGCGGATGGGGAAGGTGGAGGCAGTGGGGTGGCATGGGGGGGATGGGAGTGAGTGGGGGAGGAGGGATGGGTGCAGCCGAAGTTGGGCTGTTAAGCAGGAAGAGGAGGAGCAGCAGCAGCCAAAGCAGCAGCGGCGGCGGCGGCAGCAGCAGCAGCTGGCGGCGGCGGCGGCCTGGTGCGGGTAGCGGGGTTTAGCGCAGCAAGGGCGGAGAAACAGCAACAGCAGCGGCAGCAGGGTGCAGCGGGCGCTGTTGAAGGGGAGAGCTTGTTCTCGAGCGACGCTGATCCGGCTGAGCGCCACGGAGCACTCACTCGTGCTCGTGTGGAACCCGCTCATCTTCGACGGCGTCTCCTCATCACTGTTCTACTCCGACCTCCTCCAGGTGCGCAATTTTTGCACCGAGAAAGAAAAGAAAGAAAGGAGAGAGAAATTAATAAAGTATATTATTATTATTATTATTATTGGTATTGTTATTATTGTTATTATTTAAAACAAATAATAAAAAAACAAACAAACAAACAAACAAACTTATCTTGACTGTGCCCCATCTCACTTCCACCTTTTCTGAAAAAAAAAGAAGCATTTCTCCTCTCGTTTTCTCCTCTCTTTTGCTCCAACCTCCTCCAGGTTTACAAGGCGGGCGGCTCGGCGGCCGACCTCCCCGCAGTCGCCAGCTACGCCGATTTCGCCCTGTGGGAAAAGGACAATTTGGCATGTGCCGGGCACAGGGAGTGGGACCTGGGGTTCTGGAAGCAGGCAGTGGGTGTACCTCCTCCAAAACTACCTCCCCAGCTGCAACCCAAGGTAGACGACAGCGGGAGCGAAGGAGGAGCGAGAACGGGCAGAGGAGGACGAGCAGCAGCAGGGGCAGGAGGAGCAGGAGGAGGAGGAGGAGGAAAAGGAGGAGGAGCAGCGGCGGCGGCGGCTGCGGCGGTGGCGGCAGGGGGATTGGCGTTAGCGCTACGGAAAGGGCATGTAGAGGTGCTGATAGCAGCAAGCACGAGGAGGCGGCTTGAAACCTACGCCTTTCACCGCGGTGCCACGCTCTCCATGGCCTTCCAAACCGTTCTGCACGCCCTGCTACACCTCTGGACCCACCAGCACTCCGTCGCGGTCGCCGTCCCCGTCGCTAGGAGACAAATCCTGCCGCTCCAGTCGGTGATCGGGCGGTTCTCGGATTTGATTCCCGTGGTGACGGATATGCGGAAGCATCTGAGCCCTCCGTTGGTGGTGGCTGGACGGCTGAGATCGTTCACTTCGTCGATCAGTCGGGCGTCATCGTGTGTGTCGTCTCGATGCGTCTCCCCTTCTACTTCCCGCCAGTATTCCGCGCTCTCCCCTCGCCTCTCTGCCTCCACTCCTGCTGCTGCTGCTGCTGCTGGAGGCGCTGTTGGGCCAGGTTCGGGCTTCCGACCCTCCAGCCACGGAGGCCGGAGCTCCGGAAAGGGAGAGGGGGATAGGCCGGGGTCGGCAGGGGGGAGGGGAGCGGGAGGGTACTGCAGTAGTGGGGACGACAGGGAAGATGGGGCAGCGTCGACAGCTGATAGAATAGGTGCTGCTGCTGGTGGTGCCGCTAGTTGCTTACGCCCTGGGATGACTGGGAGGAAGGGGGGATGGAAGGAGAGGGGGGAGGAGGATCAGGAGGAGGGGGAGGGGGTGGGCCCTGGTGGGGAGCAGGGCGAAAGCTGTGTCTGCCCAGTGAGGTGCATGCTATCGGTGATGCTGACTCCCCTCCCGTTTCCCTCCCTCGCTCCCTCCCCTGCTTCCTGCTGTAGCTGCTGGGGGTGCTGTGGGTTGTGCAGTTGGTGCTCCTGCTGATGCTGCTGCTGCTTTGAGGCAAATCGCAGGCTGCTGATGCTGATGGTGTGAAGCAGGGGCAGCAGGGGCAGCAGGGGCAGCAGGGGCAGGAGTTTGTTCAGGGGAGTGGGGGTATGGGGGTTGGCACTGACGTGCTTTCACTTGCTGCGGCTGCTGTTGCCGCAGGGAAGGGGGGGAGGCGTGGGGAGGGGAGCCGGCCTGGTGGAGGGAGTGGAGGGAGTGGGGGGAGTGGGTTGGTGCAAGGGAAGCAGGCGGGAGGGGTGAAGGGGAATGGGGCGGATGGGGAAGGAGGAGGGAAGGGAGGGTTCATGGGAGGAGGAAAGGGAGGGGGGAGATGTGCAACGACCAGTGGAGGTCTGAGGGTGTTTCCTTTGAGCAGCTGTTATTCCAGGTACGTAGCTCACTCCCTCCCTCAATGCACCGACGTTGGAAGTCTATAAAAGCCATCTCTCCCTCTTACACGCTGCTGTGCCAGTCCATGCCTGCTCGCCTCCGCACTGCATCCCACCGCTCCCAACCCCTTTCAACTCCCCATCTGCCCTCGCATCCTTTACCCTCATACACCCTGGCACCGGATCTCATCCTAAACCCTAAACCCGAAACCCTGTAGAGGACTCCGTAGTGGGGGATCTAGACCCTGTACCCCTTCACGTGTAATGAGGTTATTTTTTAGACGGCTCAAAAAGCACCGACCCTCCCCCACGCCTGCTCCCAGTAGAGGACTCCCTAGTGGGGGATCTAGACCCTGTACTGTACCCCTTCACCATCTTATCTTCATTCTCCTGTTCTCCCTCTCCCCAACCTTTCCCACTCCTTCCCCTCCCCTCGTCCTGACCTCCTCCGCAGGTTCGAGAGCACACACTGCAGGCGCTGCAGCACCAGTCCATCTCCCTATTGATTGAACGCCCTTCTCTTCCATTCTCCTGTCCCCTCAAACCCCCCACCCCACACACTCCCACCCACCAGGTGCGAGAGCACACCCTGCAGGCGCTGCAGCACCAGTCCATCTCTCTCCGTCTGCTCGCCTCCGCACTGCATCCCACCGCTCCGGACCCCTTCGCCTCCCCCTTTGCCCTCGCGTCCTTCGCCCTCACACACCCCGGCACCGATTCCCCACCGAACTTGCTCCCCTAGAAGACTCCCTAGTGGGGGACCTAGACCTAGAAGCCTCTTCTGCTGCTGCTGGCTGCTGGGTTTGGTGCGCTGGTGCTGCTGGTGCTTTGGGTGGTGCTGCTGGTGGTCTTAGTGGTGTGGGTGGGGTGGGTGGAGGGGCGGAGTTTGGAGGGAGTGTGGGCGGCGGTGGTTGGGGCGGCGAAGTGGCGTTATTTCCCTTGGGATTGTCCCTGCGGCCACTGAGAGACGGGCGGCTGGCCGGGCGGCTGACTTACCAGGTAATTGATGTGGGGTATGCTAGGTAACAGTCCGTTATTGTCTAGGCTATCTGGCAAGAGGCAGGGCGCAGAGGGGACTTTTGAGGTGCCTCAAAAATTGATGTGGGGTATGCTGGGTAACAGTCCGTTGTTATGTAGGGTATCTGGCAAGAGGCACGGCGCAGAGGGGTCACAAGATGGACATGTTCTTCTCTCCTGCCCTTCTGTCCCTCCGCTCCCTCCCCTTACTCCACCCACCCACCCACCCATCCACACCCGCCCACCCCGCCCACCCCGCCCACCCCGCCACCCTGCCCACCCCGCCATCCCAGGTGGATGCAGTGCCTAGAAGTATCGCAGAGGTGCTAGCGAGGCAGATAGAGCGCGGTTCACACATGCTCCTCTCCCACCCTCGCCTTACACCCACCCACCTGCCCACCCTCCCATCCCCCCAGGTGGATGCAGTGCCTAGAAGCATGGCAGAGGTGCTAGCGAGGCAGATAGAGCGGCTGGCAGAGGCAGCAGTGGAGTCACCTCGACCCTTGCTGCTGGATGAAGCCACTGCCAGAGCGCTCAAGCAGGCGCGGAGGCGAGGGGGCGGGGTGGATGGGGGGAAAGGGAGTGGCGGAGGGGGTGGGGGTGGGGGGATGGTGGGGCCGATAGGGTGCATGCCGTTGTGTATAGGCCGCGATAGGCGGGTGCTAGTGAGGCAGGGGTCATCGGATTCGGATGAGTCTGATGTGAGCGTTTGAGGGGTGTGGGCGTTTGAGGGGTGTGGTGTGTGTGGGTTGTTGGTTGACTGAGGTGGGGGAGGGGGCATGGTGGGGGCGATTGGATGCATGCCGTTGTGTATAGGGTGGGATAGACGGGTGTTAGTGAGGCAGGGGACGTCGGATTCGGATGAGTCTGATGTGAGCGTTTGATGGGTGAGGTGGCCGATGGGTAGTGTGTGTGTTGCTGGTTGGGTTTTGTGTTGGTGTTGACTGGGGTGGTGAGAGTTTTTTCGTTACCAGGGGTGTTTTGTTGGGGATGGGTGGGATGGGATGGGATGGGGGGAGGGGAGGGTGGGGTGGGGTGGGGTGGGGGGGGTGGGGTGGGGTGGGTGGGATGGGAGGGATGGAGCACGGTGACAGGCAGTGCAACACATGGAAGGGGACACATTAACAGGTGAATGGGCAAGCAAGTTAAGCAAGCAAGGGGGGACACACTAACACACATTGCAGCAGAGGACTTGCAACAGCACATCTGATATGACGTGACCCACCTACCTAGCAGTGGGGTGGACGGTTACACAAGCAAGGGACTGGCACAAGCAAGGTCTGGCCTATTGTGCTCCAAGGCTCCCAGCAGCTACAGTACCATATACCTTCTTGATTTGATTCTATTGCTGCTAACTTTAGGCAAAAACTGTACAGCAGGTCCTACTCTGACTGTTGAGACTAGCACGTTACAAGACTGCAATAATCGCAATCTTTTTGCCTCTATTGAATACACCAACAATGGTAGTTACGGTAGTTGGTTGGTCCTGTATGCATCAGTATAATCAGAGAGAAATAGGTGGTTGTCTGCTTGGCTTGTTTCTTGGTCTTTACTTCACCGTAGTCATGCCTATGACCATTCCACTTCATATGGAGCAGCTGATCTCAATGTGTATTGTG